ACAAAAAGTAGTACCCAATATCTACCAACAGGTACATCTAGAGGAGACAAGTATACTTTCTGTTGTAATATACCCTCAAAATAATTTAGCATTCAAAGACACCACCAAATATTGAACTTCTGAAAGGAATATTTATGTGCTAGACATGGTGGTGCACACCTATAATTCATTCAGCTCTTGAGAGGCAGAAGCAAGCAGACTGCCTCAAGTTCCAGGCAAGCTATATAATTAGAACCTACCTATTTAGAAAAATAAACAAATGGATGAATAAAATAAGAAGTATTTAGCAGACCTCTGTTAAAGACACCTATAATGTATCTTCCTACAACACTAGCAAATTCAACCTCTGAGAAAGGAGAGAACTCTGCTTTAAGCCCCTGCCCTTCATTTCCCTCCATGATGGACTGTACCTTGAATTGTGACCTAAAAATAAACCCTTTGTAACATGAAAGCAAAGCTTACCAAAAGAAGAAGAAAAAAAAAGTCTGGGCATAGTAGTGCACACTTTTAATCCTAGCACTACGGAGGCAGAGGCACATGGATCTCGATAAGCCTTGGTCTAAATTAACTGCAGGCCAGCCAAGGCTACACAGAAAGACCCTGTCTCAAAGAAAGAAAGAAAAAATCCTCATATCTATAGCTACATAAAAATAGGTAAAATAGGTCCCAGCACTACTATCAACTTCTTCAAGACATTCAAGAGGCATGATGGAATCTATGCAACCCCAAATCCATTTCAATCCAAAATCCAACCAAGTTCTTTACCACCTTACAGTGAAACCAAGGGAATATCTCTAGTATTGTTTGGGTTTCCCCCCATTTTAATGTTATATTTTGAGAGTCAAGAAGATGGCAAGTAGAGGCACTTGCCTCCAAGCCTGAAAATCTAGAGTTCAATCCCGGAACTCACGGAGTGGGAAGAAAAACTTGACACATACAGATTGCCCTCTGACCTCCATAAACGTGCCAGGCATGAAAGTATGTACATACAAACAGGCACCTGTAATCCCTGAACTCCATTTCCATGATGACACAGGGGGTGGACAGGAGCCCAGAAGCTCATGGGTCAGCCAGTCTAGAGTGTACAGTGCAGCAAGGAGAAACAAGAGGCTGACCCAACAAAGTGAAAGGCAAGAACCAACTCCTGAAAGTAGCTCTCTGGCCACCATACGTGCATATGGGTGCCTAAGTGTACAAACACTCTCCAAACGAATAAATGTCCTTCATGTTTGGAAATTGGGATTACTAAATTTAAGTTAGTTGAATTAAAGTTTACAGTTTAGGGGCTGGAGAGATGGGTCAGTCAGTGAAGTGCTTCTACGTAAGCATGAGAATGTAACACCAACATACCCAAGCACACACCTGCACTCCCTGTTCTAGAGGCAGAGATGGGGGTGGAGGGCCCCTGGGACCTGCTGCTAGCCCAGATTGGCAAAATCCAGATTAAAGAAACTATACCAAAAAAAAAAAAAAAAAAAAAAAAAAAAAAAAAAAAAAAAAAAAGGTGTCAGAAGGTGTGTGCTCAAAACACACTATAAATTCCCAAAGAATTAATAAAAATCTTATTTAAAAAACCAAACCAAAACAACAACAAAAAACCCAGGTGTAAAACAATTAGGAAAGATATCTGACAGCCACCACTGGCCTCCACTTGCACATGTACACACAAGTACTAGCATACAGGCACACACAGATACAAATGTATACACACAAACACAATTTTATGCTTTAGTATCTTCTAAGAATACACTTTGTTTTCTTGTTTGTTTGAGGCAAGGTCTCACTATGCATGTAGCTTTTGGCAGGCCTGGAATTCCCAATGTATGGTGGTGCCCACGATAGTAACTCGGAAGGTAGAGGCAGGGGGATGGATCTCTGAGTTCAAGGCCAGCCTGGTCTACAGAGGGAGGTCCAGGACTGGATGGATCTCTGAGTTCAAGGCCAGCCTGGTCTACAGAGTGAGTTCCAGGACAGCCAGGGATACACAGAGAAACCATGTCTCAAATAAAACAAGGAAAAAGAAAGAGATGAAAGCATCCAAAGAAGAGATTTTGTCCAAAGTAAATCACATAAAATTTCTTTAGTTCTACTCTAAAAACCATGTCAAACTTCTTATGAAAAACTTATCATAGAACATCCTGTTAAAAAAATATCTTCTAAAAAAGCTATCTGCTTTTAGAGGCTTTTCACTGAGATCTAATCCTGAGTTATATATCTAGTTCTACCAATCTATATTTTCACAAAGTTAGGCAGAGTGAGGGAAATCTAGACTCACTGAAACATAAAATGATACAATAATATAATCCCAACAAGATACTTTTCCACTCTTTGTAGTTTATGCAAACTTTATTTATACTCTTAAAATCACTGCCTAATACCATGTGTTTCTCCACTTTTAATATATGAAATTTAATGCAATAATGTTAAGTCAGGAAATTTAAACAGTTTTATTCATGGGCATTTCAAAGCTTTTCTCAGAGTTAATTACCAGCTAATATACAATTTACCAATTCCATTTCATAACTAAAAAAAAACAAAACAAAACAAAAAAAAAACAAAGGAGTAATCATCTATACTAAACGTTGTAAGCATTCCACTGAATTTTATAAACGGCTGGCTGGCCCAGCCAGAGAGCGACAGAGAAAACAAGCAGAAGCAAGTTCTTCACTGGCCATTTGGTTCCCACCTACCCACTGCACTGAGTACAAAAACTGAAAGTGACAACTGATCTGCCTGTCACCTTGGGAACACCAGAGCTAGAATGTGGACCTGTGCACACATTTGGAAATAGTCAAGCAGAAGTCACTGAGGAAGCAGGACTTCTCAGATGACTACAGGCCAGAACTGAGAAGCAGCAAGCAGACAAGAAGTCAGAATTGAGGCTGGAAATATAGCTCGGTGGTTGAGCAGTTGCCTCACATGTAGGAGGTGCTAAGTTCAATTCTCAGCACTAGGGGCCAGGGGTTTCCTGACCTCTCTCTTCCCTCTGGCATGAATGCAAATGAAGTTTCTGTTGCCACAATTTTTGTGTTTATGTGTGTGGTATGTGTGCACGTGGTATGTTCACATGTGGACATCAGTGTGGTCACATGTGTGGACATGTCTTCTTTGATTGCACTCTGCTTTATTTACTGTGGTAGGGACTCTCACTTGAACTCAGAGCACACTGAGTCAGTGAGTCTAGCTAGCTGTCTTGCTCTAGGAAAACTCCCATCTCTGCCTCCCAAACACTACAAATACAGGCAGGCCTAGCAAGCTTTGGCTGAGTGTTAGGAATGAAGTCCGTCTTGGGACTTGTGCAACAAGCACTTGACCCCCTGAGCCACCAACCCAGTGCTACATGAAATGTTTATGTGCCTCAGCCCCAACTCAACGTTTTCAATCTTAACCTCCCAGATTGAAGTCACTACTTCATGGGCCCCCTGTGAGGTAGGAGGTGGTGAAGTCACAGAGCAAAGCCCTCATGAATGTGACTCGTTCCCTTCTAAGAGACCCCAGAGAGATTCACTGCATTGGCCAGCAATCCATAAACAGGGAACGAGGCCTATCCAGACAGTGCCCTGATAGTGGGAGTTCCAGTCTCCAGAAGTGTCGGAAATGGTGCCTTCATGACGTCTGGTCTCTGTTGTTTTATCACATAGTCCAAACAGATTAAGGCACCTCTCTGACCTATACCGTACAGCCTTCAGCCCTAATACCTCCTGCTATGCAAGCATCTTGAGTTTTGCTGCTGTTGTTGTTCTGTTGTTTTTGGAGACAGGGTTTCCCTGTGTAGCTTTGGAGTCTGTCCTGGCACTCGTGCTGTAGACCAGGCTGGCCTCAAACTCACATAGATCTGCTTGCCTCTGCCTCCCGAGTGCTGGGATTAAAGGTGTTCACCACCACTGCCCGGCAAGCATCTCAATTTTTAAGAGTACTAAGGAGTCCCATCTTATAATTAGTTCTATACCCCACATGACCTAGAATGATTAATAAATTGTCCAACTAACTTTACAGTTGAAATTTACACTTTTATTACTTTAGATTAATGCACACTCCACAGAAAGGAAATAGACTTTGGGGGGGGGGGAGAGGTCAATTTTTGCGAAATCTAATCTACATATACACATACCTAACAGATATGAAAAGTGTAAACAACTGTTTAAGAATTACTAAGCAAACCTTATTTAAATAGTTAACAATTTAGAGGGAATAGTCTCAAATCAATGTAAAAGTATGGCAAAGCCCAATTTTAAAACCTTTATTGAAGAACTAAAATAAGAAACTGTAATAGCAAGCCTTCAAAACCAAAATTATAGTTTTGCCTGTTTTCTGGTATGAAATACTAAAAGTACTTATTCCACAGAACTATAAAAATTAAGTGGCTTAATATTTAGGAAATCCTCAGTAGATATGGCTAGCCCTGTCTTTATGGCAAGGCTAGTAAGACAGGGAGAAGAACATCCTTCTCTAAAGATTTGTACCATGCTCAACAGAGCTTAACCCCTTGGGTACTAGCACAAGCATGGTACAAATAAATTCGTATAGTCATACATGCAAACAAACAAATAAAATCCTTTTCAAGAATTATTTTTAAAAAGAAATATTAGACTTAAAATTACAGGAGAATAGATTTTAATAATTATTCACTCAAGCAGTTATGCCATAATTTTAATTAAATAATTGTTTATTCAGTATCTCTAAATTACAAAACCTCAAATACCATTACAAAAACGCTGACCTGAGCAAGTGGGAGCACACGGACCCCAGTCTGACAGCTGGGAATCAGCATAGGATCGAACCAGGTCCCCTGGTGTCATTTGGGAGGCCAGGGTTCAAAAATGACTTCCAAGTGATTTAAAGTTTACATATTTTCTCATTTTATATAAATTTTATATAAATCTGTGAAATCATTTATTATACAATTAACACATTAATGCATATTTTATATTAAATATATTGATTTATATTTTAAAAACCTCCAATATTGATAATAAAATAAAGCATCCTTATCTACTTACTGCAATCTCTCTACAAGCTGACATGGATATTCCTGTGCCTTCGATTTGCTTCAATGCATATTCCTTTTCATCTTTTCTGCATGTGAAAAAAAAAAGTTTTTATTTTCTCATATACTACATTTAGACTTAAAATTATAACTAAAAAAAACAATGGAAACGTAGTCTCTCAATGATATGTAAATAATCTCACTATGCCACATACTGCTGATCATTTTTGATAATATTTCTACTGTAGAAATGAGAGATACCAAAAGAAATTCATGTTATAATGAAAACACCAGACAGAGCTAAAATATGAAATTCAAAATGAACAGAATAAGATAATAAACACAACACTAGGTTCAAAGAGTAAACAAGCATAGATTATAAACTCAAACAAATTGTAAGATGATTGCTATTCCTCTCTTAACTATCTCAAGTCTACAGAAGCCTTGTTACAAACAATAACTAAGAGATATAAACTACCAGACTCACTTAATTGGTCCCAAGTTCCAAGGCGCCAAGTAAAAGCCTTTTTTAAGACTTCAAAACTTAGCACCCACACAGCTTTCTCTAAACACTGCTAGAGAAATCCAGTGGGTAAGACTGGGTTTTGAAAATAAGCAAATGTAGCCAGGCAGTGGTGGTGCACACCTTTAGTCCCAGCACTCAGGAGAGAGAGGCAGGAAGACTTCTGTGAGTACAAGGCCAGTGTGGTCTACAGAATGAGTTCCAAAACAGCCAAGAGAAACTCTGTGTGAAAAAATTTTAAAAAATTAAAAAATTTAAAAAAAAGCAAAGAAAGGAGACAGGACTAGGAATATTTGGGAATCCTAATGGTTACCAGGGATTTTAACCAATAAAATATAATGTTTTAGTAACCAGGGCAGGCAATCAGAAGAGTGGCTATTTTAATAGTTAACATCCTCAAGATACAGACACCAGAACTAGCCACAAGAAGGTCCCAGCTGACTTCCACAACTGTGGTTTGATTATCTGTAAACACAAATCATGCCATGGCTTGTTCTAATAATAGGAACATAATCTATTGCCCTCCAATTTTTGTCTTTTGGTTACTAGCCGAGACCACTCACTGCACACCAAAGCCTTAGGTTTGAGCCTGAGCAACAGAATAAAATAAAGGGGGTTAAGAGTTCTGTTTACTTCTGAGAAGCGAAGGGAAACTGGAAACACAGTAAAAAGGAAAGCTTTTCATTTTATGTACAACTGCACCGTTGAAGGTTTCGTTTTTACCATATACAACTGTTTTTAGTAATTCTAAAAGAATAAAAGTATTTCCACTAAAAGATCAACAAACGACACTGGCTGTGTACCTTTTTCCTATTAGTCATGTGTGACTGCATAATGAAATTTCAATCAATGATAAATCACACAGTCTGGTGGTCCCATAACACAGTTGAGTTGACAACTTCCTATTACCTAGGGACACCACAGCAGTGCATCGCACAGCCCAGCCCAGCACAGCACTTAAGGCAAACTCTGTCAGAGATATTTGTAAATATTTAACATCTAGACCAGTGTTTCTCAATCTATGGGGTACTTCATAGGGGTAACCTAAGACCATCAGAAAACACAGATATTTACATTACAATTTATAACTAGCAAAATTAGTTATGAAGTAGCAGCAAAAATAATTTTATGGTTGGGGGTCACCACAACACGAGGAATTAACAGGTCACCACAGCCAGGTGTTATGACACAAAAAATAAAAGACCCAGAGAGGGACATTGGGGTTCAAACTTCAAACTGAAGATTAGAGAAGCAAAGCAGCAGGCCACTAGCTCTTTCTCTACCTCAGACTGAAAGATGATCCTGGCTCCACCAAACCTCACACTCGGGAGAATCCTGAGAGTTCAAAGTCTTCCTATCCTCAGTGTGGCTGAAGAGTGAATACCAACTCTAAGACCTGGCTCCTGTCTTATACACCTCCCTAATACTGGGATCAAAAGTGTGAGTTCTGTTACTCTTCACTCTTATGTAGGCCATGGTGGCCTTGAACTAGCAGAGATCGGTCTACCTCTTAATCCAGAGTCCTGGGATTAAAGGTGTGTACCACCACTGCCTGATCCCTATAGTTTGAGGCTGACTTTGCTTTCTGAGTCCTCAGGCAAGCTTTAATAAATCATAAATAATATATCATGACAAGGTGTGGTGGCGCATGCCTTTAACCCCAGCACTCAGGAGGCAGAAGCAGAAACAGACAGATCTCTGTGAGTTCAGCGCCAGCCTGGTCTACAGCGAAAGTTCCAGGACAGCCAGTTCCAGCACAGTCACACTACACAGAGAAACCCTGTCTCATAAAAAACAAACAAGTCTTTGGAGGACAGAAGCAATAACACAGTGGTAGAGTTCCTGACTTCCACTAGCATGTCCTAGGTTTAATCCCAGACACTGAAAAAATGCAAAATTGGTAAATTTTAACTGGAGGGAGGGAGGGGAGGGGTGTGTGTGTGTGTGTGTGTGTGTGTGTGTGTGAGAGAGAGAGAGAGAGAGAGAGAGAGAGAGAGAGAGAGAGAGAGAGATACACCTTTAATCTCAGCTCAGAAGGCAGAGGCAGGCAGATCTCTGTGGATTCAAAGCTATCCTGAGAAACCCTGTCTCGAAAAGCCAAAACCAAACCAAACCAAACAAAAAACAATATATGTATATATATGGGGCCACAGCATTAGGAAGGCTGAGAACCACTGTATTAGAGGCGCAAGGTGCACCATGATGTTAGGGGTTTTACTAAATGACTGCACCAAAGAACTGGCACATTTGTCCTACTTAGCTATTTCTCATTTTCCCCATTCTATATCTAATAGCAGACAAGAGTTTAGATGTTACTCACAATGTGCCTTTTAACAACACATCGATTTAGAGCTGAGGTGTAGGTCAGTGGTAGTGTGTTTGCTAGCATGCCGAAGGCCCTAGGTCAATCTCTACCACTACAAAAATAACTAAATAATAATAATGATAATGATAATAATAATAACAATGAAGACAACAGAAGGAGAGAAAATAAATTTTCTTTTGAATATTTTCTTAATTACCTATTTTGGGTAAATAAATGAGTTACAGATGCTTTCCTCCCACCATCAGTCTAAGAATTATATTTACTTTTTCCATTATATGCCAATCAGGATAATTAAAAGCACCTTTTATATTTTACTTTTTTTTTTTTTTTTTTGAGTCACCTAGGAAGAGGAAACCACAACTGAAGAAATAGCCTATGGGCAAGACTATGGGGCATTTCTTGATTAATGACTGGCAGAGCCACCCCTGGGCAGGTGATTCTGGGTTGTGTAAGAAAGCAGGCTGAGCAAGCCAAGGAGACCAAGTCAGTGAGCAGCCCTCCTCTATGTTTCCGCTTTCACTTCTGCTTCCAGGTTCCTGCCCAAACTTCCCTTGGTGATGGAACTGTAAAAAGAAATAAACCCTCCCTCCCCAACTTGTTTTTGGTCAGTGTTTTATCACAGTTTTATCACAGAAAGTAACTGGGACACTGTAATATTAAGAAAATATATAGATTATACTACTACAAATAAATATATACATCTAAATGTATATGAAACTAATACAAAAAATGAAAGCAAATGTTAAGATGCAGGAAGTTATGCTACTTAATGGTCATATAATGGTTTTAAGTTAGCATGGAGAGGGGTCCAAAATAATTTGATATTCTAGAAACAACTGCCTACTTAAATACTCTTTAGCATTTTCAACATGATTAACTTAGGCAGATGGTGGGGGTGGGGGCGTTTAAGACAGGGTCTCACTATGCATCCCTAACTGGTCTGGAACTCAGCATGTGGACAGACCAGGCTGGCCTTGAACTGAGATCTGCCTGCCTCAGACTCCTGAGTGCTGGGATGAAAGGCAGGCACCACCATGCCAGGTTCACAGGCACATTTTAAAGAGTAAAGACAAGCATTAGGAAAAGCTTTCACAGTCCTTTTCCCCTTTTTCCCACTGCTTCCTGGGTCTTCGGACCATTCACTGCCACTACAGAGAACAAGCAGCAGGTGACGAAGAGCAAAGCCAGTGCCACCTCCTACCTTGAGGTAGGACAGCTGAGTGCACGGAGCCCTGTGCTTGTGATCCTGAGGCACATGCTCACAAGGTACAGGCTTCATGCCTAATGATCGTATTAGCTACCCGCTATCCACTACTCAATGTTTAACGTTATTAATTCCTAAAACTATAAAGAAAAATAAAATTATAAAGAGCTTTTTGACAAATTGTTCACATTCAATCACAACTTATTTTTCACTGAAATCTTTCAATTCTCAGTTCTACATGAAGTGCTCCAGAAAAATCATGGAATTGCAGTTTTATTTTTAATACTGTGAAGAATATTACACAATCTGGATAGGTTATTGTTGCTATGGAAACTATAAGATTTTTGCAGTAAGTCAAAAAGTGCAAAATTAACACATCACATTAATGGTTTTTGAATTTCATATCCAGGCTGTCAAAGGAATTTAAAAGCTTAAAAACAGACTAAAACACAGGCCTTTCCCTGAATTATATGGATAGAAACAAGAACAAACCTAGTAATTATTTCACTTAAAAAGTTTAAAGATAACTTTTGTATGCTAAATTAATAAGGCCCTGGAAAACCATTAATTTTAAGATTCGAAGTTTTAAAATTAGAGGAAATAAAGCATATATATATATATATATATATATATATATATATATATATATCACTATGTTTATCTTTTTATTCTATCACATGATGAATGGTGAAGAGGCACCTCTGAGATTCAGCACAAGAAATGGCAAGGTCTCAGAAGCCATGAGACTCTGACAACACCATAAAGACCATAGGCCCTAGACCTGGTACACATCTTTAATCTCAGCACTCAGGTGAAAGAGGCAGGAAGATCTCTTGAATTTAAGGCCAGCCTGTGCTACACAGTGTGATGGGGCTGTCTTCTGTACATATGTTTCTCTTATTGGTTGATGAATAAAACACTGTTGGCCAATAGGGCAGCAAGATAGGTGGGTCTAGGAGATGAGAATTCTGGGAAACATAGTCAGAGAGAGACGCCATGTGAGACTGCAAAGGGGTAAGAGGTCTGGACCCTTCTC